TGGTGCTGACGTCTTGGAGGAAGCAAGCCTTTCAGACAGGATTGGGGTAAAGTCGCTGTTGGGTGGTGCAGATGTTGTTTCCGAGAAAGGAAACCGGTCAGGCAGAATTTGGTAAAGTCGGTGTTGGGTGGTGCTGATGTTGTCTTGGAGAGAATAGACCTGTCAGACAGGATTGGGGTATCGCTGTTGGCTGTGTGCTGATGTTGTCTGCCTTTTAGGTACCAGTAGGATCGATATCTTGGAGGAAGCCCTGGCAGGCCTTGGAGCGGTGTTGGCTTTGTTCGACGACTGCGGCGCTAGCCCTGTGCCAAAGTGATGGGGCCACAGGGAAAGGTCCAAAGTTGACATCCCAAAGACCCTCCAAAAACTTTACCTTAAGACTCCGGCAGTACCGTTAAAAAAGGGTGGGCCCGACGTTCCCGTCTGTTGATTGGTCCGACAGTGCCGTCGTTAGCACGTATGGTCGCGCATGTGTTGGCTTTCGTCATGCCGCATGTATCACTGTACGCCTAGGCGAGAGGACTGTGTGGTTGTTCCGTTGCGGACATGCGACATGCTAGTCCGAGGGACCAACCATGGACAATATATTTTCTGCAATGTTCTCCTGAACTGCGCAGACGGCTCCCGAAGAGCGGCGCTACTCCTTCCTATGTCCTCGCTAATAATAGATGTCTTAATCCGTCATCATGAGTCCCTCAACAAGTATTGGCATTATCTTTCTCTTTCCGGCAGCTGTTTTTGGACCCCATGTGCCACCCTGAAGGGGTGCCACGAGGGGCCTGGGCCCAAAAGTGGCAACAAGCAGATCAATAAGACCAGAATTTGGGGATACATCGTAGCCTGGTTTAGGGTGCAAGGTTTGGGGCTTGTGGGTTGACAGTTTAGGAAGAGACAAGGACAGGCTCGACTTGGGAGGGGCTTCCCCGAAGCTCCTCTGCAGCCATGGAGGCCTCGAGTGTAGCTTCGTTAGGGTGGTTCTGGCTCTGATGGAGATTGTGATTGACGGTGCTCAGAAGCCTAAGAGGTATTTTCTGGCACTCAAAAAACCCATGGTGTACACGAGTGGGTTCCGGAGGTCGCCGCGAGTCTGGGCCTGGTCGCTGCCCCAGAGACTCTCAGTAAGGGCTACAAAAATGGGCGCAGCAGCAAACTTGAAGAGCAGCGACAACGGTGGTCACGGCTGTGGGTGGTAGCAAGGAAGCATGAAGCACAAAAAGAGGAGCAGCAACAGCAAAGGCAGAAAGACCGGAAGATCATGTAAGAGAGTCTGTGATGGTCGATGCAAGTGACCCCATTTTTTGCATTTGGGCTCCCACTGCAGGGTGCGAAAAAGCCCCTCCTAAGAGACATCATGACGTTTCAGAGGTAACTCTTAATCGAGTTCGAGATCCAGTTGATCGAAGCCCTGGGCAGATATCATCATCCGAGCAACTTTGACACGAGCACAAATGCAGACGGATGTTCTTTGATCACCATGGATTCGCCGGGCTTCACAAAGAGACCAAGTAGATGGAAGCTCACTGAGATGTCGGGCCATGGCGCCTTGCCAGCGAAGCAGGTGCCTAACGCGGGAGGGATGGGGGCGGTCGCGGTCGGTGCTGTCAGAGCTCCCTCGGAAGGATCAGGCCGCCTTGGAGCTTTCCCTGGTGATCGAGGGCCCGTCGCCGCCAAGCTGATATCAGAGCCTGGGAAGCTTAGGCAAGGGACATCTCTCTGTCTCCAGGGGTTCGCAGCAGATCACTCTGGTGGGGAACGGTGCCAGCATCGGCATCGGCCGTGCTCCGGACTCCCATGCCTCTTGGCATGACGGCTTCATTTCCTCACAGTCGTGCCCAAGCTAGCTGAAGCGAACAAGTCAAGTGACAAGTGCGGATTTGCACAAAACGAACAGACATCTACACGACGAACTGGGGAAGTGAGCCAGGTACAATTGGCGAGCAGCGGCGTCTCTCATCGCCATTGTAAGCTCTTTCTGTGACTCGGCTGCTTGCCACAGAGACCAGGAATCCCAAGCGGCCGGCAGAGTGTAGCATAGAAGCTGAGGACCAAGAAGGGCGTCGACCTTAGCTTTCCGTTGTCGCGGCCAAGCATGGTACAAACACGGGGCGGGCCCTCAGGCCAAGACGTTGTCCTCAGAGTCCGTGACACTTCAAGGAACGGTACCTTGGAGCACACAAGCTTCATCTGCTCCATCCGTCTATATCTGTTTTCACATGCTGCCCCTGGGCCACATGACTCAAGTCAGGTACCGGTGCGCGGCACAGCCGCTATTCACAGGCCCAGCGCCCCTTCAAGGAGTTGAAGGAAGGGGAAGAGGAGGTCGGGATTTGCATTGCAGATTTCTGTTGTGGCTGTGTGCTTGCGAGGGTGTACGGCAGCAGGTGCTACATCATCGCTCCCAGCTGTTGATACCTCTCAAAGAAAAAGACAAAGGCAGAGACACTAGATCGGCCCGAGCCCGAGATTTAGCCACGCCTCGACCATTGAAGCACGGACTTCGACACAAGGTTTTAACGATATACTTCAACCTACCGGATGCTTCTTGGCAAGTTTCAGCGTTTGGAGGCCTTGCGTGCTTTGTTTTCCCAAGCCAAGGCTTACAACCCTGCGCAAGAGTCTGGGCGCTGGCAGTACGAGGACGGGACCCAGCCGGAGCTGGCATGAGCTGAGCATGAGCAAGCAGAGACACAAACTAACTTTTGTTAGTGCTGTTGCAGGGGTGTCGATGTCATGCAGCGTCACCAATACGCCGTCGCGAAGTGAATGCAACAACAGACGGCAACCAGCAAGGCAGGTGGGTACTCCTATCCCTGTGGAGCTGGCAGGAGAAGCTGGGCGAGGGCGGCTTGGCTGTGGTCTACCGCGCCCGCGATGCCCCTTGCCTTTTGCAATCGAAGGTTTCGGCAGGCGGAGAGTGCTTTGTTCGATGCTCAGGTCTCAGGATCCCTGGGCGAGGTCGCCGTGAAAGTTTCAAAGTTCAAGAACTTGCCACTAGTCGCTTGACTGGAGCTGTTGCGCCAAGTCAGGCATTGGAGCAACTGCAGTTGACACCAGGTCTCCAATCAAAATCGGCATGTCTATGCTTTGCATCGCGAAGCACAGTGGTCGATGAAGTGCTTGCACAACACTGAAGACCCCCGCTATGACCAAAAAGGCGCTCGGGAGCGGGGGCAGTTTAAATCCACAGCATGATGATCGCCATTGTGGGAACGGCGATGGCTTGTAGGACTACTTGCATCATGCTTCCTTCTACTGCTGTTCCTGCTTTAGCCGCTGCGCCTGCTACTGCCGCTTTTCCGGTCCACTCTGCTAGAGCGTGTTGTCAAAGACGCATTGATTTTGGGGTTCGCAAATCGTTACGTTTAGGGCTTTAGGTTGAGGTTCAGAGAACGGGTGCGACACGTCCAGGCGGGATTAACCCAAGCCTGTGCAAAAGGGTTGAGGGTAAGTAAGACTGCGGTTTGTCACAACTCACGTCTTGTGACACTGGAAAGAAAGGGTTTGCCAAATATCCCCGAGGTTGCCCGCAGCAAGCGCTTAGGCATGCGACAGCACCAGCCTCCATTCACATCAGCATCAGCATCAGCGTCAGTGTCCGCGTCAGCATCAGCAACAGCAGCACCGCCGCCGCCAACCACCATCGCCACGTTCTCTGCCATGCGAGAGGGGAAAAATGTACTGCATGTTTGTTTGAATCTGCAAGGAGACGCAAGGAGAACAACCAACAGTAAGATGACGCATGCAGGGTCTGGCGACATGTGGCGAGCCGTGAAGTCTTGTGCAAGTCGAAGCCTCCCCCGTAGGAGCGGGGCTTTTCGCGAAGTACTTGGAGGATCACACCGGTGCGCCCTGGTTTTCCTTGCGGGCAGTTGTCCCACAAAGCCTCTAAGCCCTAGGATCTCTAGACCTTCAAGCCCGATGATGCTTGTTCACTGGTGAGATTGTCAAAAATGGCTTTCCTTGGTCTGCAGCTGGGCAGGCTTTGATGCGCACGACGATGTCAGCTTCGATGCCACGAGGCTACAGGGTCGCTGCTCGCAAACGAATTCAACGAGAAGTCTTCAGCTCGGTCTCGGCACGCGCCCTTCTGGCGCCTGGAGGCGGAAGTTTGAAGATCCGGAGTTTGCGTTGGCATCTCAGATGCTCTCTCCTCGAGGGCCGGAGCCAATTTCAGCATTTGGAGGTGGTCGAAGCACAGCTTCGAGCCGAAATTGGCACGTGAGCCTTACGCGGCATCCTGAGATGGGTTCATGAGGTTTAAGTTTATACGCCCGGCGAGCACCCCCATTTTGGCAAGCTTTGAGCACAGGTGGTCATGGAATTGGTGGAGGCCAAGCTTCTCCAGTCTGTGATCGACGCGAATCCGCCCTTGGACTTTGCGGAGAAGCGCACCATCACCAGGAGCAGCAAAAAGCAGCACTATCAGATCAGTAATTGCACTTGTGGCTTCTTCCGATTGCTATCTCTCCGTTTTCTGGCCGGTGCCGCAGGCAATGTGTGGATAGCCTCCTGTACCTTTCCAAGTTTGAAGCATTGCATCGGGATTTCCGAGGCCTGTACAAGTTCTTGTGATGGTCAATGATTCCAAGGTCTAGGTCTGCACCTTCTGGCGCAGCTGAAACCGCTTGACCTGCGCAGGCTGCAACATCTTCCTTCAAGGTCGTGGAAAAGGGTGCCAGCTGAAGGTCATTGATCTTGGCTTCATGATTTCGGCAGCTTGCCGTGCACCAGGTTGCCTGTTCGCTTTTCTTTGGAAGTCCCAGTGCGACCGAAAGAGAGAAGCACCCAAAGAGCTTTCAGGCAGATGCCCACCAGGAAAAGAACCCCAACATCGCCGTGCGCTGTGCGTGGCAAGGGAACAAGGCCCCCTGGCTTCTTTTGAAGCGAGTTCCCTTTTTTCCGGAGCCGCTCCAACATCGGAGGGAAGGAGGGCCATTTCTGAGTCTCAGAGGCGGAACCCTCTTGGCTCAAGAAAGGTCCACCGCAGGAAGGGCATAGGCTGCCCCTTCAGCGCAGCGCAGCTACATCTGTTTGCAAAATCCATATAATGTACGGCAGGTGACACGAACCAGCGTGTCATTTGCTGTGGTTTCACTCCCCTCTGTCCATCACTTGGACGAATTTCATGTTGTGTGGCCTTCACTGGCTTACGCTGCTGCTTCTGGTGCAATGTGAGCGCATCGCTGACGATATCGTGCTGGATGATTTCGACCCCCATCGAGGTGATCTGAAGATTGACGATGTCCAGACTCATGCAAGGAAGCACGACAGCTTTCTTCTCGTCAGCAATGGACACCACGAGGACATGTCCGAGAACCGCACGGTGGTTGACGAGGACCTGGTCGTCAGCCAGTCCTCTCCAGATCTGATCTGAAAGTTCCCTTTTAGAGTCCACTTGCGTGACATGAGTGTTTCGACTGTGCAGGTGACTGTCCGAAGGCCTTGAGTCTCATGGTGCGCAGAAAACATGTGTGCCTAGCATTCGCTTTAGCGTCAGTTGGCACCGGAGCCCGGTTAAGATTCCGGTATGGACCCATGGGCCGAGTACCTGGCCCGTCGTCCGAGACCAGGCGCTGATTCCCCTGGAGGACCCGCTCCACGGCTACCTTTAGGTGATTCGCGAGTGGGTGTTCATGAAGCAAGCTCTTTGTCAAGTTCGTTTGGAACCTGGATGCAGAATTCGGGGCATCCTAACGGAATGCCTGCGACCCCCGGCTTCCCCTCACCAAGTGAATGGAATCCTGGAGGTGGTGTGTTCCCCTATGTGAACAACCTGGGGAACTACGGAGTGAGAGGAATTCCCTCTCCTTTTCTGGCTACGGGACCTCCTCAAGGGATACCGGGAAGCTTTGGGCCTCCACCTCCGAGAGGTGGCGCGCAGGTCTTTCCACAACCCATGACTACCCCCCCGACTCCACCTACAGCCTTCGCGGGGACTACGGGATTCACGGCGCCTTCTACAAGAATGAATGAGCCCAATACCGACACTGAGATGAGAAGAAATGCTGCAGCAGCGGCTGCCGCGAGTCTTAACTCCCAAGGATGGCAGCCAACCCCTCCGACTAAGGTGTCTTCAGCCTTTGATGTTTTGGGAGTCCGACCTCCCAAGGCTTCAGCTCCTTTTCCAGACCAAGGTGAAAGATTCATTGCCGCGTTGACTGGCGAAAGAAAGAGCATCCCTTCCTGGAGCGGCCAGCCTGGGACGCTTCGCTCTTGGCTGAAACTTCTGGCGTGCTGGGAAGCAGAGACTACGCTTCACCGAGAAAAGTGGGGCCTACGGCTTTACCAGTCGTTTCCGGAGAACTCCCAGCCGAGGAAGATTGCGGATCAAATCCCGATGTCCGAGCTCCTGTCGGTCAATGGCTATGATTTGGTGCTTACGGCACTGATGTCCAAATACCGGCCCTACCTGGACATCGCAGGGCCAGCCAGTGTGGACAAATACTTCTTTTCCGGAGATCGAGCCAAAGGCGAGAGCTTTGCAAACTTTATCGCCGCTAAGGAAGTGGCTCGCCAGGAACTGGAAACCAACCTCGGGGAGCGCCTCAATGACAAGATAGCGGGCAGAATCTTGTTAAGACAAGCTCACCTTTCTGAGCTTCAACGAGAGCTTATCTCCTTGAGGGACCAGTCCACGCTCATGACGTTTGAGGAGATCGCCAACATGCTGCGCCCCCTGGACAGGCCAGAGATGATTGCCCAAGCAGCCAACGCCGAGCTGGGAGCAGCGGCCGCTTCCAAGCATTACCCGGTGATCTACCACGATCAGGTGGATCCTCGACGGGAGCCCGAGGATACAGCTGGAGAAGAGACGGAAGAGGAAGAAGAGCCAGAGGACGATGAGGAGATGCTTGACGAGGACGAGGAGCTACAGATTTACTTCGAGGACCGCACGTACGACGAGGAGGAGGCCACATACCTGGCGGCGTACCACTCAGCGTATGCGGACGTGCGGCGGGACTTGAAGGACCGCCGAAAGGAGAGGGGATTCATCAAGCACAACAAGGTTCCGCCACAACGGTTCCGCAACTCCTCGCGATCTCAGAGGCCACAAGGACGGGGGCGATCCGGAAAGGGTCGTCAAGCTGGTGCTGCTCCTCGAAAGGGCGGCTCGAAGATGCTGAAAGGCTCGCTGCAAGACCTGCAGAGCCGCACCAAGTGCTACAACTGCCACGAGCTGGGACACTACGCTCGCGATTGCCCTTTGAAAGGCGGCGCAGGCGGAAAAGGCACGCCCGCGGACCGCAAAGTGAACTTCGTGGTTTCTCGCGGTCCGGGAGGAGGTCAGATCTTCATGTATCACGGCAATGCCTCCTGGGCCCCCCTTCAGAACCGTACAGCAGCGGATGCGGTGGTTGCTCGTCGCACCATTGCAGTGTTCGCGGGGATCCAGGTTCGAGGAACCGACGCTATTGTCGACACGGCAGCGGAGGATGCAGTCATCGGCGCTACGGCCATGGATTCTCTACGTCTTGAGCTGGACCGCCTTGGCCTGCGACCCCAACAGGTGCCTCAAAAGGGTCCGGAGGTTCCTTGCGCGGGCATCGGTGGCGAGGCAAAGCTAGAAAGTGTACAAGATGTGCCAATTGCTGTGGCCGGCATTCACGCACTGCTGCGCTTCCACGTGTTGCGCGATGGAGAGTTCACTACTCCACCGCTTCTTCCGATCAGCTTTCTGGAAGCTATCGGAGCCAACATAGACCTCCCCACCGAGGAGCTCGCGACTGCCTCGGGATGCAAGACTCCGATGACCCGACTTCCTTCTGGACACCGTGCGGTTTCCATTTTGGACTTTCAAGGCAGGCCCTGGTCACTTCCAAAGCAGCTCAGAGTGGCCGACCAGGATCCCTTCCAAGCGCCTTCGCCCTCATCCTCATGGTTTGGGGGCTCTTCAACAACGACGCCCTCCTCGCGACCTTCGACATCATGGACTTCGTCTTCCAATGCGACCTCGGCGACGGCTACAGGCCATGAAGATTTTGGGGGGAAGGCCGGTGGAAATGATGCTTTGCCACCGACTGCCAGTCTCAATCCCCCCTCGAACTTGGTGGCCTTTCGCCTCTCGGCCGAGGTGGAAGCGAAAGCATTGGACATGTGGCAACAGTCGAGGTGGTCTATGAAAGACATGGAAGAGATGCTGTCCCTGCTGCACCCGGCCAGAATGGACCATTGGAGAGTGATCCTCAAAGAAGCCCCTCGAGGACCGGGAACTACGAGCTCGTTCTCGGCCGTGTTTGGAGCCTTTGCACACGGCTCCTTTGTGGGGGTCACCAAGGCGGCCCTGAAGTATCCCTGTCTGGTGAAGTATGTGAACAGCTGGATAAAACAACAGGCGCCGCAAGCAGTTTTCAGCTCCTTCAGCATATCCTCGAATGTCCAAGCCCCCCTTCACAGGGACGTGAACAATGAAGTAACGTCAAAGAACGTGACGGTGTCCTTTGGCAAGCACAAAGGTGGATCCTTATGGATTCAAGATGATGGACCAGAGACCTTCTCGCGCCGGAGCAAAACAGTGACCACGCCACAAGGCCGCGAAGTTTCCGGAAGCTTGGTGCGGACCCATCATCGAATTGTGCAGTTTTCCCCCAAGCTATGGCATGAGGTTACGTCATGGAAAGGGTCTAGGATTAGCTTGACAGCCTATACCTCTCGGGGACTACATACCATGAGTCAGGGTGATGTGCAACAACTCCGTGACCTACATTTCCCCCTTCCGGACCCAGTTCTGACTTCCGTGAGCTGTTCGCATGTGGAGTGGCAGGATGAGGAACCATCTGAATCACAGTCACGACATGCGGAGTATGACCTAGAGCACGTCTTTGATGAGGTGAATCAGAACCGCAACCTTGTTCCTGCTCCTTCAGCGTCCTGGTTCGAGCGAATGATTTCGCGAGCAGCCAAGTGGATTCTCAATTCGAATAGCCGTCCCGCCCGTTCCTTGAGAAACAATGTCTTCGCTGAGACAGCGGGCGGATCGGTTGGTGGCCAAAGAGAAGCAGCAAGAGGAGAACTTGCCGAAGAAAAAGATGGGCACGGTCAGGGTGGAAGCAGCTTGGAGGAGAATCACGGGAAGAATTCTGATGATGCTGGCAACGGCCCGCCAGCAGCTGGTGGTGGACGAGTTCTACTTGATGGACGAGATCCCGGAGACCTCCAAGGAGAAAGCCAGCTCCTCCCACCAGAGCAAGTCCAAGACCACCTCCAAGAAAGCAGCCCACATCAACCAGGGCATTGGACAACCGCTGGCCAGATCCAAGGCTCACAAGACCTTTGCCTTGGAGCCCAGCGCGTGCCAACATCCCCCGGACAAGTTGAGGTGCCGGGCCAATTCGATCTCTCAGTGGTGGACCTGCACTCTTTGCGGCAGCCGCTGGCAGAGGAACGACGCCGTGGAGGTCGTTCCCCAGAAGCTGCCCCAGACTTCCGAGACCGAGCCCAAGATCCAAGGGAGAAGGGGACAGGAATTTCCCAAGTTTCTTCCAGCCCCAAGGAGTCGGCCTCAACAAGGCGACAAGATGGTGGAATTGGATCCGAGAGGACGTCCGAGAACTATGGCTTCGGCATCTTCAAGCGAGACGGGTGGAACGGGTGCGATGCCACCCCCTGTGCCGGAGACCATGGCAGCGGGCGTTCCCTCAAGAAGGTCACCTTCGAGGACAAGGACAACAGCGAGCGGGCTGAGGATGATTCAGCCACTCAAGAAGGGCGCGGCCCCCTCCTCGGCGGAGACCTACGAGATCAACACCGAAGACGAGGAAACTGTCAGCGACGAGGACATGGATGCGACGGTCAAGAGCGAAAAGTAGAACCAAAGAGGCCCCGGGTGCTTCTTGACGCGGCATCCATAAAAGAGTCTTCCCCGG